TTTTGTACTGCAGATCTGCTCGCGTTAATTTAATTACTGGTCGGCTGACGGATTCGCATGTTTCAATTCGTCGAAAATTGGTTGACGAATATGCTGTTCGAAATATCTGTTCAAAGTCTATAACGTTCAGGAGTCGCTTGTTTTAAATCAAAAAGTAAATATCCGTATGGCACTGAAGTAGCATCTCTTCCAAAACGAACTTATATTTTTCTGGGTTTATTTGTCTTGCAAGTGTAGCTATTTGCTGTCTGGCTCTAGAGTTGTTAGATACGATAAGGTACTGTGTATTCAGATATATCTCTTTTCCGCTTTCCTTGGTTGAATATATTTCGGGTAATGAACACTACGCTCACATTAAAAATGGAGTGAACCTTTCGTGAAGAGGTCTAAAGATCCTTGAGATCTGAAAAATAATCCAAATCAGGCACACCTCTGATGACTGTGTAATTTTCGAAGAAAGCATTGATTGGTTGACCAATGCGCAAACTTCATCAATATGTTGATCTACAATGAAGTTACCACATGTAATTGCATAAAAAAACATAAAAATTCTGTGTATTAAAAAAATAGTATGAATACAGGCGATTTTTTCAATATTACACCTAGGTTGGCCATTTTAAAAAAGTTCATTCAAAGCGAGCGAAAAAAATTAAAAAGCGAGCTTTGAATGAACCTTTTCAAAATTAATTAATAGTAGAAGTACTACCCCTAGAGACACAAAAAAACTAAGAAAAATCAGGACTTATTAGGTCCTGTCAAAGTACACGTTATATGCAATTTACTGAAAAAAAACTAGGAAAAAATAGCAATACTAAAGCCTGTGTCTCCTCTAGGTAGAAGTAGTTTTTAATGTCATTAATTCTAGGATGTTGTCATTCCTTATAGATTTCGATAACCAGCTAGAATTAACCGAAATGCGTAAAACTGTTGACCTAATAATTCTAACAAAAATAAAACGAGAAAAACAACAATTATAGAATATATCACATGAGAAAAAAATGTATCTTATTCTTACATTCTAACGCCAAATCTCCACGTAAAATTAACGGTCCAATGTTGATTGAATTTCCAATAATTGAAATTTCACGTCGCAAAACTCAGTGGCGACAAAATCTACCTTGGTTCCCAATTCAGTCTGGAAAAATACGCACCGAGTTTTGTTTTACAATTGAAACATTTCATAACGTTTTTCGATGCATATTCGATGCAAATTCTTTCTGTTAACGTTTCACGATGCACAAACATTTAATTGACGCCAAAAAGCATTGTACTTCCAGTGATACCAAAACTGTTGAAATGAAATGTCCACATCCGCTGTTTTTTCTATAGGCAGTCGCTGAAATCAGTCAGAGTATTAATATTGTGATTCGTTTGCATAAATTGGATCAATTCGCCATATCTTTGTATATAAAATGCAAATTCCTTCGCAAGCACACACTCTCTCTCTAACACACACACAACATGCCAACCTAGTTGCGTCATACTTATTATTCAATATGCCAGCCAAACAATAAACAGAAGTTTTCGAGCGATTTATGACCTCGTTATCTTTTTTGACTATTTGACTCACAGACAAAAGATTGGCACAAATCTCTGGAATTATTTGAACATCTTTTATTTTCAAATTACCCGCATTTTCATGTACGTCACCCTCTCCAGTTATTTTCATAGCCCTGCCATCAGCAGCAGTCACACGATTTCCTTCTACTGATGCTACAAAGTTCTCAACAATACCATGATTGAATGTCATATGTGCTGTCGCACCACTATCGAAAAACCAATCATCCGGTTTATTGTCCACGAGAAACGCACTAAATAGCACTTTGCCACTATCATTTGTATTAACATTCATTAATTCTGGACATTTGTTACGATAATGGTTGCCCTTGCAATTGTAGCACTGAATCTTTTTCTTCCTGTCATTCTTTTTGTCTTTAATTTTTTTTACACATTTCAATGTTGTTTCAGAGTTTTCACTGTCGTCGTTCAATAAAACATCCTGCAGAATCATGTTTTTTACATAGTCTACAGTGATTTCCGTACCACCGTTTTCCCAAGCCAATATCGTCGGCTTGTATTGTGATGGCAATCCACCCAAAATCAAACAACCTGCTGTTTTATCATCAATCGTGAAACCTGCGACTTGAACCTTGTTCCATAATGCCAACATTGAATTTATGTATTCTTACTTCGTTCCAAACCTTCCCATGCATCCTTCATGGTTACTGATTTCGCAATGAAAGAATACAGTGTTGGATCAATCAATAGAGTTAATTCACTCTTGGCATACTTGTCGTTGATTACTTCTTCTGGCTTTGTGGCATCTGGCTTTTTTATCGTCCAATCAAAATAACCTTTTAAATCCAAATAAGCCAGCGCACCAATCTCCCAAATGTCGTAATAGACCTGAGCAACGAGGAACTACGGATATTGCTAGACAAAAAAATGATCAAATGTGATTATATTCTAAATACCCGTTGAATCGAACAAAAACTCAAAGTCAATATTATTCATGTGACGTGAACGAGAACACTGACAACAGCTGGCTATGACTGTTAACATGAATATTTACCTGGTCAGCGCCAATTCAATACCATTCACAGCGAATGTCAATTCGAATAAATCATTTGCAAATGTTAGTTTTTCTTTTAAATTTCGCTTCAGAAAATGTTTATTATTTTATATGAAATAAAGTTATGTTATGTGATGCACATATGGTGGTTTGAATAACATCTGATTAAAATGAATTTCAATTCGATTGTTTTGTCATTCGATGTTGTTTATATATTTTTCATTCTATCGATCGATGTCATACATGTTGGCAATTAGCCGTCGTCCGCCCACCTCTTTTCCATTTATGAGTTGACACGCTTCAATGGCGTCACCAATTTGCCCGAATATTATTAAACCAAAGTTGCTATGACCGTGCTTTGCAGAAGCTTCAATCGGTTTGGATGGAATGTCACCGGTCCCGTAATCCTCAGCTAAAATACCAAAATCGACGTCAGTCCAGGCAGCAGACCTAGTACACTCCCCTATCTAATCCAATAATCCAATATGTCATACAATAGTTTTGAATTTTATATGTCAAAAGACGAAGTTTTTTTTTTCATGACAGCATGTGCGATTTACTTCGTTTATCCACACACAAATATACGCGTGCCTTTATTCTATATGTTCGCGTTATGCATTAGTGTGTGAGTATTCTCACAACAACGCAGTCAGCGAGCGTATAAGTTAAACATATTTAAATATCAACCAATGTTAACCGAAGGTGGATGGTGAATTTGATGTGCTGGCCACTTCAGAGGCTGATGCTGTAACCTCTTCAGTGATACCAGTGCCCTTATTATTGTCATATACAATGAGTATGTTGCGCACATCGCCGTTAGTTCTCTTCTTCGGCCGTTAGATTTTCACAGCTTATGTTTGCCGCAAGAAAATCATCTTCTGTGAATTTGTCAGCATTCACAGGAAAAATATCCGTTGTTTCGAAACCTTTTCAGATGTTTAAAGGCGTACAGGCAGCAGTCATAAAACATCTAATATGAACACATTCTTCAATAAAAACACGATAGAATGGCGTCAATAGAGTGTAATACATTACCCCACTGTCGGTGTAACACTTTCCCCCACTGACGCCATTTTACGCGCAATAATACTCTTCAAGGAACTCACAAAATCTCTTCGTAAACAATTCACAAAAAAAACGATTGGTGTTACGACGAAGAAAAACTTTTTTTGTGAAAAACAGAAAAAATGGTTCGTCTTGATGTATGTAATTGAAAAAAATATTTTATTTCATTTCCTTCAAAATAATATCGACAATCGAATTTATGTACTAGAGTACTATATTATGTTCTAAATCTAGTACTCTAGTATTTAAATTCAATTGTCGAATATTTTCACAATTTTTTTTTATATTTAAGATATTTAATTTTACGTGATTTTGTTGCATTGCTCTTTTTACGGCCACCAAGAGTAAATCCGTATTTATTTCACGTTCATGTATCTCATCTAATATTGGATGAAAGATATTTTCAAAACCTTCACCTTTTTTTGATTCAATCAAACATTGCAACAAGTATCCGCTTGTTGTTAGAATTAAGTTTATGGAATATTTCTGCATTTGTCCATTCGTATTTGGTGGCCACCCATACGGCGTGGTTGGGTCAATATTATGCGGCACGATGGTATACCGTCTGGTTGATTCAAGGATAAATTGAGGCAATTGTGTGGATTTGCCGGAACCTGCATTGAATAAAAGCACATTTGTAATATGAAATATGCGGTCGGTTTCAGACAATATATTGGGCTGAATATTCATTTGAAATGAAACGAAATAGCACGCTATTTTTGATAAAACAATAGAAGTGATTGTTGTGGTTATAAAACACTTACGTTGGTGCAATAATTATAACAATCACTTCTATTGTCTTATCAAAAATAGCGTGCTATTTCTTTTCATTTCAAATGAATATTCAGCCCAATATATTGTCTGGTATGTTTCGACGCTCTTACCTTGTTCTGACCAATACTTACTCTCACTGCCCAATATTAATTAATTCTTTTATTTTTATTAAATGATGAAGGGAAAAGCAGGCATATCGGCAGCAAGAACCCTCCGCTCTGTTCTTGCTCGCGGTTACAATACTTATTCACATGAGTTTAACCATTTCTTTGATAACGACATGGTTAAACAGATTTTTTTCAAAATCTTCTTCACAAGCTTTGGCAAGTTCGATAAAATTTAGTGGATCTTTGCTATTTGTTCGCATTTCAATGTATTTGAAGAAAGTAAACTTAACACTAGGATGTTGTCATTCCGATAACCAGCTACAATCAACCGAACTGCGTAAGACGAACAAAAATATAATATAAGCTATTTAGAAATGAGTTCCAACTTTTATACACTAAATCATTTTTATTTCTAACTGATGACCCAATAATTCTAACAAAAATAAAACGAGAAGAAAAACAAATATAAAATATATCACATGAGAAAATATATAAATTAACGGTCCAACGTTGATTGAATATCCAGTAATTAGAGCTGCACGTCGCAAAACCCAGTGGCGACAAAATCTACCTCGGTTCCCATTCGGACCGAGTTTTGTTTTACAATTGACTATTACATTTCATAACGTTTTTCCATGCATATTCGATGCACATTCTTTCTGTTAACGTTTCACGATGCACAAACATTGACGCCAAAAAGCATTGTACTTCCAGTGATATCAAAATTGTTGAAAAGAAATTCCCAACATCCGCTGTTTTTTCTATAGGCAGTTATAAGTTCATTAATATAAGTTATTAACAGTTTATGATGATTTTTGTAAATCGAAGTCGTAATGTTATGCTATTTTGTTGTTTACAGTTTGTATGTCTGTCATTTTAGAGCGGATCACTCTGTGAATGAATCCAGCGTGTACCTATTGATTTTTATATTAATTTGCTCATCAGAGTCTATCTGTGAGTTGTCACTTGTGCTCGCATTATTCTCCTGTTTTCTTGACACAGAGCGTAAAATCGCTAAAATAATATAATTCTACATATCATATTAAACATCTTTGTGGATACATGATAACGCATCCGCTACAACATTTGCTTTTCCGCTAATGTGTATGATCTAAAACTTATATTCTTCGAGATCCAATCTAATTCTTGTTAGTTTAGATGATGGGTTTCTGAGTTTGTAAAGAGTGGCTTATGGTCACTATATACCGTGAACTCTCTTCCAAAAATGTATGGTCTTAGAACTGTAATGGCGAAATGTGTGGCCAACAGTTCCTTCGATTATGGCTTTATTTAATTCGCCCTTCTTGAACGATCGCAATATGTTTGTTATGGGTTTATTTCCGTCTTCGTTTTTCATAATCTGGATAAGCCAGTACTGGAGCTGTTGTGAGGCAAACTTTTATTTTATTGAATGATCTATCGCATTCCTCTGTCCATATAAAATCTGCTTTTTTTGCCGTTAAGACGTGCAATGGTCGCGATAGTCCCAAATTATTTTAATAAATCTTCTATAATAATTTGCGAATGTGGTAAATCTTTTTGTCTCTTCTTTCGTTGTTGGTTTTGGATATTTATTCGACCTTCGAACAATAAATAAATAAACAAATAAATAAGATCAATGTTTCTATAAAAAGCACGTAAAATTTAAAATAGACTAATGTTTTTAAATTTATATTTTTCTAAATTGTCACGTTAATACTAATTTGGTCTTCAGTTTGTCACTATATATATTTACTTTTTGTACAATGTGAGTTAGTTCAATTTTAGTTCAGATTCAGTGAATTAATAAAACTTATATTTTAAAACATTTGTCTTTTAATGTTCTGACGAACAATATTTATGCACAGCGTGCAGTTTACTTGGGTCAGTATGCCATTAGCTGTACACTTATGGCCGAGGAAATTAACTTCATGTTTAAAGAAATCACATTTATTTGGGTTTAGTTTGAGATTGTACTTCCTGCAAGTTTCCTGCCAGTTTTATCATTGTGATGGAAAATGTCGTGCCCCCCGTTGTCAAACCAGTTTTGATATTGTCGTAGTGAATTTCCCGAAATTTGGATTTGTATGTTTCTTCTCTTATAAGTTCGTTCATTTTCGTCATTCGTTTTTCGTAGTCGTATTCGTGATTTTGTATTAGCGTATCTTCTTTGTTGGTCATATCAAGATTCGGTATGTTCAACTTCGCTGTCATGTCTGTTAATGTTTTGAGCATCAAGTGTAGTCTTGGCTAGTTCAATTATGTTCAGTGTTTACATACTAGTGTTTACATGAGGTCTAATGCTCAAACGGTCTGTATTTATTCTGCATTTCCGATTGAGTCTTAAATAGCCATTGGATTCGATATGGTGTGTGTATGAATAATACAAACACACATGACCAAAAAGTATCACATTACAAATGAACTGCTATATAAAGAGAAAACGCAAATTAAACAACTCAGTCGTTCTGAGCACGTAAACATAAACGGTCGTTTCTTTTATTTACTCTCTTTCTCTGTTTACAGTTTTCAGTCCAGTTGATAATAAGGTAAAACTTCTTCAGTGTGTTGTGGTATTACCACCGTTACAATGTTCCCAAATTTGAGTGGTACTTTTTTAGATTTAAGTTAGCGTCATTTTGTATTTTAATTTAGAGTCTCTCTTTGGCTTGAATAAAAAAGACGTTATTAAATTAATATAGTGAGTTTTTATTGAAGCCCAC